TCAACATTATTTCAGTGTCATGCTTCTCAAAACTTCTTTCCACCACATCTTCAAGCTTCAAGTGTCTTCAAACTTCTTCAACCTGCTCCGTGCTTTGTCTTACATTTTTAATTTTGTCCAAATTTCTTCGTTTTTTGTGAGTTTCTGTATGATTCTTCAAGTGTTCTTGAGTTTCTTTGAACCAATTGGAACTTTTTCATTTCTTAAAACTACTTCCAACTGCCTCGTCATGTTTCGTATAGTTACTTCAATCTTAAATTTAAGAAACTTTCTTAAAATTCTTCAACCTTTTTCAAGCGTAGCAAATTTCTTCAATGAACTTGTTCAAGTTTATTCGAACGTCTTCGGATTCCTTCCAGCTTCTATTTTGATATTCTTCAAGACCATCATAGATTCCTCACTACTAAAGATTGCTTTTCGTACGCCAGCTTTTATTAAATGGATCAAATTCCTGCTGACTCCACATTTAATTAACAGTGATTAGTGTTAACTCATTCCAGTTACTTTAGTGTTTTTGTGTGCTATGGTGGCATTAATTGCTATAAAGTAGGGAAACCCCCCAAGCCATTGTTGCGCCCATAAAAGATGTTGGACGAGTACACGGTGACGGTGAAAGATGGTGTGTCGTCGGCACGTAATTTATGCGTAATAAAACTTTACTGTTATGTGGATACTTCTTAACATAATTAATGGTGTATATTCAATGAATGTCCAGCTGTAAAGTAAACCGCATATTTTGTGATACAAGTAACAGTTACGTGATGTTTACATGATGTTCCCCTATTTAATCGCTTTTCAGATGATTAAATTTCCAAGTGTCCTCAACAATTCCCTTCATGGGTCTTTTTGAACTTTAATAGTATCTTTCACGATCACCAACAGTCCTTAAGAGCTTTAGGGGAAGGTTTAGGTAAATATTTCATTTCTGGCATGTGCTGGCGATTTGTCAAGGTTTCTCTGAAAATTAAATCGTCACTCCTTCACAAACTTAAAAAAACCTTTTTCAAATAGCACAAATTTTTCGATTTGAAAAAACTCACTTTTCTTAAGGAAAAAACGAGCAAAGTCAATATGACATTATTATTTCTGGTGTGTGGTGGCGATATGTCACGGTTTCCCTGAAAACCGTCACTCCTACGCAAACTTAAAAAAAACCTTTCTGAAATAGCACAAAATTTCCGATTTTGAAGAAAACTCACTTTTCATCGGCAAAAACGCGCAAGGCCATTATTACATTTTTACTTCTGGCAGGCGCTGGCGATTTGTCACTATTTCCCTGAAAACCGTCTGCCCTACGCAAACCTCTTTGAAATAGTACAAACTTTTCGATTTTTATAAGTTCACTTTTTATAGAGAAAAAAACCAGCAAAGTCAACTTAAAAAACCCTTTTTGAAATAGCACAAAATTTCGGATTTTGAAAAAACACTATTTTTACCAGAAAAAACGTGGGAAGTCAATATTGCATTTTCATTTCTGGCATGTGCAAACCATTGGTCACGTTTTCTCTGAAAACCGTCACCCATACGCAAACAAAAAACACTTTTTGAAATAGCACAGACTTTCCGATTGTGAAAAAACTCACTTTCCATCGAGCAAACACGCGCAAAGTTAATTTAGCATTTTTATTTCTAGTGTGTCCTGGCGATATGTCACAGTTTCCCTAAAAACCGCCACCCCTACGCCTTTTTGAAATAGCACAAAATTTCCGATTTTCAAAAAACTCACTTTTTACAAGAAAAAACGTGGAAAGTAAATATTGCATTTTCATTTCTGGCAAGTGCAAACCATTGGTCACGTTTTCCCTGAAAACCGTCACTCCTACGCGTTTTTGAAATAGCACAAATAGCACAAAACGAGGCACAAAGTATCCGATTTTGAAAAAAAATCGCTTCATCTTGAAAAAGACGCGCATTCAATATTGCGTCCTTATTTACTTATTTATTGTCCCTCTTGTCCTGGGACCTCAACAAGCTTGCGCCCAATTACAGAGTGGCCCGCATAATGCTTTTTTAGAGGTGTCCCTGCAGAAGGTCTTAAGTTGTTCTATACTACTCCGGTATTTACCTTACGAATTAGGAAAACTGCAGGAAAACCTAATTTGGGGTAGCCGGCAAAATGCTCGAAACTGATCTAAGGAAATTCCCATCTCTGCCACAGATGAAAAATTCCTATCTCACCCCAGGTTCGAACACCCGACCTTCGGTTTCGTAGCCCAACGCCCTACCACTGAGCTACAATTCGGGCGAACATTGGCGATTTGTCACGTTTCAAAATCACTCCTTCGTAAACTTAAAAAACTCTTTTTTTCACTACTAGCGTCTGATGACATGATTATTAACCTTTTTTCCACTTGTAAAGTAGGCTTTCTCGGCATTTGTTCAAAGTGGTTAATAATTTTTTATTATTAACTAGTAGTCAATAATGAGAACTGTCACGCTGTCACTTTTAGAAAACACAACCCGAAATTTCGCTCAATGAACGTTTATACAAGTTCTCTAAAACGAATAATTGCCACCATTCGCAATTTCCAGAGAAATTACATACCTAAAATTATCACATTTTGAAAAAATTCGAACGAAATTACTCTTTGAAAATATCTCAATGACAGAACAAAATACGGCCTGTTTGACTTGTACTTCCACGTACTTGATTGACATGTTAAATTAAGAAACAAACAATTCTGTCCAACCGTTAACTCTCTTATCAATATAATATGTTAATTTAGAGGATTTCAAGTGCTAGTAGTGAAAAAAAATAGTATATATACCACGGTAGAGAAGTCTATTATTGCCTTCGCACCTTACACCCCTCGGCGCAAGCGCCTCGAGATGTAATCTTGGTGCTCAGGCAATAATACTGTACTTCTCTACCTTGATATATAATGTACTATTTTTTACAACTGTCAGAAAAACCTGTCATTTCCTAGAACTAGATTTTTAAACTGTCAATTAACGTGCGCGAAATCGTCAACAGTGAAAAAAAGTATTTCGCGCACGTGACAGAGCTGAACTTAAACAGCAAATTTAATTAACAATCGGTTCAGTTGTAGAAAAAATATTGTATATAACGCTAGCGCGAATTTATTTCGAGCATTTGACTGATATTTTGATTCGGCTTCACCTCGTCAAAACACCTTCAGTCTCAATGCGCGAAATTGAACTTCGCGCTCTTGTTATATAAATAATTATTTTCTACAACTGTCAAAAAAACCTGTCATTTTCTGACGAATTTCGAAACGCGAAATACTAGGTTTTTAAACGGTTAATTAATAAGGAAGGTTGCTCTTGACAACGTGCGCGAAATCGTCAACAGTGGAAAAAAATATTTCGCGCACGTGACAAAGTTGAACTTGAACAGCAAATTTAATTAACAATCGGTTCAGTTGGAGAAAAAAATTGTATATAACGCTAGCGCGAAGTTATTTCGCGCATTTGACTGATATTTTGACTCGGATTCGCCTCGTCAAAATACCTTCAGTCTCAATGCGCGAAATCGAACTTCGCGCTCTTGTTATATAAATAACTATTTTCTACAACTGTCAGAAAAACCTGTCATTTTTTGACGAATTTCGAAACGCAAAGTACTAGATTTTTAAACGGTTAATTAATAAGTAAGGTTGCTCTTGACAACGTGCGCGAAATCGTCAACAGTGAAAAAAAGTATTTCGCGCCTAGCTTTATATACAATATTTTTTCTACAACTGAACCAATTGTTAATTAAATTTGCTGTTTAAGTTCAACTTTGCCACGTGCGCGAAATACTTTTTTTCACTGTTGACGATTTCGCGCACGTGGCAAAGTTGAACTTAAACAACAAATTTAATTAACAATTGGTTCAGTTGTAGAAAAAATATTGTATATAACGCTAGCGCGAAGTTATTTCGCGCATTTGACTGATATTTTGACTCGGATTCGCCTCGTCAAAATATGAAAAAAAGTATTTCGCGCACGTGACAAAGTTGAACTTAAACATCAAATTTAATTAACAATCGGTTCGGTTCTAGAAAAAATATTGTATATAACGCTAGCGCGAAGTTATTTCGCGCATTTGACTGATATTTTGACTCGGATTCGCCTCGTCAAAATATGAAAAAAAGTATTTCGCGCACGTGACAAAGTTGAACTTAAACATCAAATTTAATTAACAATCGGTTCGGTTCTAGAAAAAATATTGTATATAAAGCTAGCGCGAATTTATTTCGCGCATTTGACTGATATTTTGACTCGGATTCGCCTCGTCAAAATACTTTCAGTCTCAATGCGCGAAATTGAAACAACTGTCAAAAAAATCTGTCATTTTCTGACGAATTTCGAAACGCGAAGTACTAGATTTTTAAACGGTGAATTAATAAGGAAGGTTGCTCTTGACAACGTGCGCGAAATCGTCAACAGTGAAAAAAAGTATTTCGCGCACGTGACAAAGTTGAACTTAAACAGCAAATTTAATTAACAATCGGTTCGGTTCTAGAAAAAATATTGTATATAACGCTAGCGCGAAGTTATTTCGCGCATTTGACTGATATTTTGAACTGAAAAAAAGTATTTCGCGCACGTGACAAAGTTGAACTTAAACAGCAAATTTAATTAACAATCGGTTCGGTTCTAGAAAAAATATTGTATATAACGCTAGCGCGAAGTTATTTCGCGCATTTGACTGATATTTCCTGATATATTTTCAAAAAACTCACTTTTCACAAGAAAAAACGTGGAAAGTAAATATCGCATTTTCATTTCTGGCAAGTGCAAATGATTGGTCCGTCACCCATATGCCAACAAAAAAAAAACCTTTTTGAGATAGCACAAAATTTCCGATTTTGAAAAAACCTTCTATCGAGAAAAAAACGCGCAAAGCCAATATTGCATATTTACCGGCGTAATTTAAGGGTAGATTTAAATCAATTACATTTGATATTGCGGGGGTCTAAACACCCCTAATTTTGATTCGTTTCCACTACGTTCGCTTAAAAAACTTTGGAAATCATTTCTAAAAAAATAAAGACTATGTCCATACATTTTATTGGCATAATTGAATGTGTACATTTTATGGTAGGTGGCCAATGAGGTGTCCAAACATCACTAAACACGACTTATCCATTCACAACTTCACATGCATATTTTTGCACCGTTTTTGCTAACGTCACGTGAAATATGCAAAATTTACTGCTGGCTGTAACTGCTATCTTCACACGGGTTAGGTACGGCCCCGGGGAGGATTAATCTGGTATTGGGCTGCAAAAAACCAAGTACAATTCCTGAATTCAGTGGTTTTAATGTTGCTGCATACTTTCGCATATTTATAGATATGCCATTGCTAACTTCACGTGAGTCGACATTCTTCACATGTTCGTAATCTCCGCCTTGCCTTATTGTCCATGTTTAGGTATCCAAAATTTAGTGCCCAAAACGGAACGAAGATGCGCATACAACCTGAAATTCCGTTTTTTCGCGCCGAGATAATTTGCGTCGCCCCGTTAGAAGCTTGCGTAACCCCCCGAAAAAGGCCGCAATATATTTTCCATACGTTCAAAACATGCGATAGCATTGAAAATACAAGCGACAATGTCAAAGTATGGGATAACCCCGTCTAATTAACACACAATGTAAGCAACGCGCTCTCAGCGAACTTGAAAAATTCAAATAATTAAGTACTCGGTTTCTATAAATAACGAAAACAACACGGCCGTCTTATCAATGCTGTATTAATTTGATAAGACAAAACCAATAGATAACGTATCGCGGAGGTAATTATGATAAATCTGTTTATTTGGTATAATTCCTAGTTACAGTTATTTTCAACGTTTAAGCAAATGAAATATTTCGCCTGTTTTTTTCTCTGTTAAATTAGAGCAGGTAAGATAATTCTACAAGTCAACAACAAGTACGAATAGGTATATTTACTGTTAGGTATTACATGCCCATGTAAAACGAGTGTAAGTATTTACACTAATTGCAATCGATTTTAATTTCTCTAAAAGGGGCGAGTTATAAAAAATTCATCGTATTTTTGTCCTCTACGCCTTTAAAGCGAAACGGCGGCGGGGTGATAACGAAAGGCAATCGGGCGGACTTTTTGAATTTTTGCCGCCATTGGCGGAGGCTGTCGTAATTGCCGAAAAAAAAAGCGGCGATGATCAGCGCTAACCTCGCATTTAAATACGTCACTCTGCCAGGTAAGCACGGATGCAGGTAACTAAAGACATCAATAATCGATAATAAAGCGACCAAAATGGGTCCTCCTAGCAAATTCCGTCGCGGACGGAAAAGACAAGTGGAAAGCGAAGGGTGCGACTTAAACTATGGACTAACTTAGAATACGTGTATAAGGAATAAGTGGCGTATTTACCTGAAAAGTGTTAACACCGATAACATAATAACAGCCATCTTACTTTAAATGTCAAATATCATACTGCATGTTTATACGAATTGAAACACGAGCGTACGCGTGCGCTCGCGATGAGCACGTGCGTATTAATTTGTGATTTCCACCACGACGCTACGATAGGCGAAGGGCAGAACGGGCGAACTGTTTTGCCATTCCACCACTTGAGCCAAGGAAATGAATTCTATCTACCTACAATTAGGCAACCAATCATACATCCACAAATATAAGCATAACGTAAAAGGTATATTTCCCTCCGAATAAATTGAAACCTGCAGGGGTCTATACTATGTATTCAGTTTGTGGACAAAAGGTTTACGGTAAGAAAATTACAAAAAAGAGTATAAATTAATGAACATGAAGCAGTAAAAATTGGTACCTCAAGGCAAAAGTAAAAAAAAGCAGAGAAATTGAAACTAAAGAAAATGAAAAATTAATAACAGAGAAATCAAGAGATAAATAATAAAGGAGAAATGGTACGAATTGTAGAACGCAAAGAAGGTGAACAATTAGAGGATGATGTATGAGAATTGCAAAAAGCACAAAAATATGTGAGAAGAGATTGGAAGACGGTGTGTAGTGAAGCTGAGGAAAAAACAAAACAAGATAAAAGAAGGATGATTTTTTTACATCATCTCTGTGTTCCTCCCCCCTCTCCCTCTCGCCTTCCACCCCCTCCTCCCCTTCCTTCCTTGAAAGTCAATTCAATCACCTATCCATTTTTTCACTTCCTTTTTCATGTTCCATCTCCACTTTCTCCTGCGCTTTTCTCTTTCGGCACCTTCGCTAATTTTACAATTTGTTCTATCAGGTTTTCTTTTTCCCATTGCTATAACCTTCTTCCCATTTTCTCAATCGCTTTCTCATTTCTTTTATCTCTCCTCATTCTCTCCTATCGCATTTTTCCTTCTTCACGCTTTTCCATTATTTTCTCTCTCTCTCTCACTTTCACAAGCTTCATCGCTTTCATATACTTCCTCGGTCACTTCGCACCAGTCTCTCGGAGCTAAACAGGTGTTTAAGAGCCATAACCATTATAGTATATTAAAGTACAAGTGTCATTTGACGAAGATTATCGCACGAGGTAGTTTGCCGCATAAGCCGCGTAGCGGCGAATGCGGCAAAAGCCGAGTGCGACAAGTAGACAAATGACACGTGGGCTTTATACTATTTTTTCTATTTCGACTTTTATTTTAAATAATAAATTATACAAATTATAAATATTGCCTTTAGGCGTTGTTAGGTAATTTTAAACTATCATTCAGTGTATGTTGGTAATAGACACAATTCATTTATTTTCACGTTGGTTAACCTGATTCCTGTATTTTCAAACTTTTAATTATTTGGTCATAATTCCATTTTGCGGCAGTTATGATGAATACGGATGACAAACACGTCTCTTGTACCCCACCAGAGACCCAAGAGATTGCCAATGAAGCGACGTTAAATTTACTGCCTGTAAAATCGAAAGTAAAGTACGAGGAGTACAAAATTTTTGAAAACTGGCTGGCCGAGAAGGGGAGTTCAAAAAGTAAGCAAGAATGTACTGCTGGCATATTTTACTACGCTAAGTAAAAATAAAAGTTCTACCTTTTGGAGTATATATTCAAAATTAATCGGCATTAATACAATCGGTCAAGTTCCTCGTACGTTATTTACACTTTACAGGTTATGTTTAGTTTTGATTTGACGGATACCGTTGACAGCAAAAAAGCGAGGGGTACCAATCCAACAAAATAAAAAAAATAATGCGTTTCTATTTCTTTCAGCATCATTTCTGTCTAGAAACGCACGCAAACTGGGCCAATCAATTACGGTTTTGGTATTGTTTCCACATCGAAATAGAAAAAGATTATTTTTCTATTTCGATTTTTAAATGTTCTTATTAACGCACTGTTTTCCGCTCAAAACAGTGCGTTAATGAGACCTATTAACGCACCGTTTTTAAGTTGGTATTAAAGAGGAAAACCTAAATTCACTACCCTATTTGACATTCGATTGTATTTATTTACAAATTAGGGTTATGTTTTGATATACAGAAAGACAAGATTCCCTTTCTATTTGATTAAAAGCGAGACATGTAAGGCTGATAGTGTTAATCAAATTACAAGAACAATATGAAAAAACCACTGAATTACTTTCTCCTTCCAAAACTCAAAAGGGAATTAAATATTACGGTATGTAGCGTAAGAACCGAGATATCAAAAATGTGGGGCTTTGAGGTAAATTTGTACATTAATGATTAATGCCTCTTTTTGTAGCACGTTCAACATCTACGTACAATCTGTGACCAATGATTACTAGTACGAATAGTGTACCTATCTACCAAAAACGACCTACAGGTTATAAAGGAGATTTCGAATGGGGAATGGATGACAACGAGGATACCTTCGGAACACATTAAACAATATTTTAAAGGAGCAGCTTATTGCTTTTAGCACTTGTTCTGCGTTATTCATATCGTGAGCCTGATTTGTGTAGTATCGTTATGCTCCTAAGAGGAAGTGACGATCCGAAGCCGAACCCGTCGTAATGAGTGACACGTCTCACGTAACAACAACCCACTAAGGACCGATCCGTTAGTGACCGTTAATGGCAAATCGCAAAAAGAAACCTTTGTTTTTCTTTTTATGTCAGTCACCAATATAAGTAGAAGCAGTGTCGTATGGGCGAAATCTGTTAGCTGTTAGCTTTGTCGTTAATCGACAGTGACACGACTGAATTTCACATAACTTATATAAAAGGACGAAGGACTGCATTTTGCCTTTATGAATTGTTCCACAGTTAATGTACTAATTTCTGAAGTTTATTAATTAAAACAAAATTGATGAGAGTGTATTTAAATAAGTGAAATATTTGGGACGTGGTACTGCCAACTTAATACAACTTGCACTAATACAACTTCTATATCAAAATTCCCTAGTTACAAAAAGTTACTATAACATCATTTTGATAAAAATTTCTCGAAAATTTCTTCTCAATAGAAAAAATAGTATAAGAAACTTGTTTCATAAGACGCCCCATCGCCGCGAGCGGCTCGTTTTCTAAACTTGAACTCGTGCGTTAAACGCGCCACTTATGAAACTTGTTTCTTAATATACTATTTAAGAGGCTTTCAAAACCCTGCTTTAAAAGTATGTGAAGTAGTACCTGCAGAATTCTTCGAAAGATAAAGACCCTTTGCGACCTTAAGTACATTTACATCTCTTTTAAGCAATCTAAAAGCTTGCAGGGGTCAGTAAGAGGCATCAAAAGGCCTTGAAGAATCTTTGATAGTGTTTCAGATCCGTCTACAGTTCCTATTTAACTAAAAGTCTAAAAGGCGTGTTTGGAAGTCCCTTTAAGAGTTCGGATTCCTTACTAGAGAGCCCTCGGCAAAAGGGAACTCGATAACTTCTTTTCCTCTCACTCGCGGTACTTCGGTACAATGGAAGTACTGTACATTGGGGGTATTCCATACCCCCCAGACCCCTCGATAACACTTTCCTCCAGAGAAGACTGTCTAGCCCTTAGGATGGTTTTTGTTGGAAAATTATCGGATCCTTTTCTGCACGGAAGTATTGCATAGAACATAGTCCCGGGGGGCCTGAGGGGTATGGAATACTCTCCAGCAAAAGAGCTCTTGTCAAAGGCTGACTCAATAACTCCTTTCCATCTAATCTTCGGTACTCTCCTGGGTTCCGGGAATGACAATAGAACCACTATACCCCGCACCCCCCGCTTATTACCTCCCCCCCCACAAAACATTTCCATACCCATTTACTCATTTGTTCATTTGTTCATTTGTTTATTTGTTCATTTGTTCATTTGTTCATTTCTTCATTTCTTCATTTGTTCATTTGTTCATTTATTCATTTATTCATTTATTCATTTATTCATTTATTCATTTATTCATTTATTCATTTATTCATTTATTCATTTATTCATTTCTCCTCTCTTGTTCTAGACCCTCAACAGGCTTTCGCCCAATTAAAGAGTGACCCGCATAATGCTTTCATCCGCAAAGCCAGGAATCGTTCCCCAGAAGGCACTCTTATTCTTAAAACTCCATCATAGGCTATCTTCCAGAGCAGCCCCCCTCCCAAGAAAAAGTGTTTTCCCGAGAAATTTTGGAGTAGTCGATTTTTGGTAAACAGGAAGGTTATACACTGCCTTTTTTTGAGGCCCAAAAAAAATTGTCTGAGATCGACCAGGAAAAAACATTTTCCTTTTGATTGAGAGGTCTAATCGAAAAAGTACGAAACGTTTTGGATTCTACGCACCAAAATTAATAACAAAAAATGTTTTCCCGAGAAATTTTGGAGTAGTCGATTTTTGGTAAACAGGAAGGTTATACACTGCCTTTTTTTGAGGCCCTAAAAAAATTGTCTGAGATCGACCGGGAAAAAATATTTTCTTATAGAATTTCGCCCGTAGAATCCATAATTTCAATCAGTTTGAAGATTGGGGTACTAGATCAAAAGTTACAGCCCTTTGAATTTTATTTCGAAATTTGTATTTAGTCCATAACTTTTGATTGAGAGGTCTAATCGAAAAAGTACGAATCGTTTTGGATTCTACGCACCAAAATTAATAACAAAAAATGTTTTTCCGAGAAATTTTGGAGTAGTCGATTTTTGGTAAAAAAGGAATGTTGAGTGGGGTGTAGGTAGATGGAACTCACAAAGGGAAATAAATATATCCATTGGTGATGTCGAAGCTTTTAGAGCGAATATCTCTCAAAAGGGGTGTCAGTGGAGAGTATTCACAAAGGTAAACTGAATCGTCTAGATGAGACATAATATCTATTAATGAGGTCGAAACGAGTATCTCGTAGACGAATTGTCAGAAGAGGATACTCATAAAGGGAAGGTTAGGCGAACTACTTACTGATATGAAAACTTAAGGGAAATGCAGAATTTCTCTAAGAAATTTCGGGCTCGATTAGTCACAAAACCGGTCAGATGAAACAAATTTATTCGACATAAATCAATCAAACAAGCTGAAAGGAAATATAGGCGGTCAGTGCCAGAGAAACAACTACCACGCAACAAGCGATCGATAGAATAATCCAAAATCTCCGGTCGTATTGCAAGAGTGCAAGTGTCGGTTGTTGAAGGATTTGCCAATCTCTGATTGCAGAGGAGGATCTTGGGTGCATCTAATCGATCTGAAACTAAACTGGGAGGTAGGTGGTTTCTTAATCCTTGAACCGCTCGGTAAAGGAATGCTCTGGTGGTGTCGCTATGTGGTTTTGCGATCATAACTTCTGAAGAGGATTTCCAGTGTGTTGGTAGGTACGGGAGTTAGATACAGCGGTTGTAAATGCTGGATAACAATGTGATTGTGGAGGGAGGGAGTGGAGTTTGTTGTATTCTGTCCGCTAGTAGGAATTGGCGGAATACTCATCTCTTCGCCCTAAAGGGATTAAGTAGGTATCCTATCAGGGACTCAGGGAGCTTCTGGCGATAAAGATGGTGGGGTTTCTTAGGGCCGGCGATAGAGGGGTTTGGTGATATGATCAACAATAGAAATACCGTGGTGTGATATGAAGGTTGGGGTACTGTTATTAGGTGGTTGGCGAGATTAATGCCGTTAGGGTCGAACGGGGAATTGCCGAGCGTAGAAAAATGTATGATTCCTGTGGGTTGCCTAAATTAATCAGGAACTGGTGGTAATCTTTGATCCCCATGGCCATTTCATACAAAATTTTATTTAAACTTATTACATTTCCTTAAATGTGCACATAGTTCAATTAATCCTATCAATTTGACAACAGTCCTTTTTTTAAAAAATAGATTTGTTACAATTATCATACCTACAATCGCTACACGTGAGAAGGTTTCGGCCGTTATCTTTCATTCTCACGCAAGGTGACACATTATCTTCCCTAACGGAGCACTCTCTTACATATCTTGTCACATCGTTCACTACGAAAGAAGTAGATCAATAGCAATTGTCATTATTCCATCTTTCATTTACCAATTTCCGCATATTCAAGGCACACTGACGATACAGTCGAAGGTGGAATTTCGCATGCTTCATCCCCAACTCCCAACCAACCCTTGCAGTTAGTGTCACCCTTTGAGCTGTCGCATTTGTAACAGTTCAGTTCTGAAATTTTAGAGCGTATTGAGTCATTGTACCAAGGTTGGTGCAGCACTCACCTGCCACAACAGCATGAACCAAAAAGAGAGTAGCCAATAGTGTTTTGAAATACATGGTGAAAATACAACTTGGTACCTACTCATTTAACATGCATATTTAGGCCACCACCCCCACCCACAAAGTAGAAGGAGAGTGTCGTTTTCGAAGGTGTAACGTTATGACGCTATTGATAGATGTCACTACCACAAAGCTTTGTAGTTTGTTATCAACAACGGACAGGCTTTCGCAATCGCACGCTTTGTGTTACGAAATTGAAATTATAATCTGAACATTTCGAAAATTCTTGTTATTGAAGATAACGACGATTAATTAGTACCGAAAGCCATGTCCATGAACCTAGCAGAGCAAGGTCAGCAGAACACAATCAAACATACCTATTGCTAATTAGGTGCTAATTAAGTGCTATATTCCCGAATTAAATGCTGCTTTTTTTAAAAATTATTACATGTTCTGCCAGGTTCATATGAACTCAGCAGAGCACTACCTTAAAAACCCAAAAAAAAAGAAAAGTGAACTAACTATAATTAGGTACTACTTAGGTGCTAATTAAGTGTCCTATTCCCGAATTAAAAGCTACTTTTTTTTTAATTATTCATAATTTAAAAAAAAGGAGCATTTAATTCCGGGATAGGGCACGTAATTAGCACCTAATTATAGTTAGTTCATTTTTCATTTTCTTGGTTTTTTGAGGTAGTGCTCTGATGAGTTCATATGCACCTGGCAGAACATGTAATAATTTAAAAAAAGGAGCATTTAATTCAGGAATAGGGCACTTAATTAGCACCTAATTATAGTTAGTTCACTTTTCATTTTCTTGGGTTTTTAAGGTAGTGCTCTGCTGAGTTCATATGAACCTGGCAAAACATGTAATAATTTAAAAAAAAGGGAGCATTTAATTCGGGGATAGGGCACTTATATAGCACCTAATTATAGCTAGTTCATTTTTCATTTTCTTGGTTTTTTGAGGTAGTGCTCTGATGAGTTCATATGCACCTGGCAGAACATGTAATAATTAAAAAAAAGGAGCATTTAATTTGGGAATAGGGCACTTAATTAGCACCTAATTATAGTTAGTTGACTTTCCATTTTCTTGCGTTTTAAAGGTAGTGTTCTGCTGAGTTCATATGAACCTGACACAACATGTAATAATTAAAAAAAAAGCAGCATTTAATTCGGGAATATAGCACTTAATTAGCACCTAATTAGCAATATGTTTGATTGTGTTCTGCTGAGCTTGCTCTGCTAGGTTCATGGACATCCGAAAGTCATCATTTTCTTTTGAGTAGTTTTGGATTTTGGGCCCTTAAAGCAAAAGGGACAATTTGCAAAATAAAACAACTTATCAGCTTCAGCCATCACCCTACACCATCAATAAACTCATCATCTCTAACTAGCATTCATCACTAATTTCTTCATCGAGTACTTTTTTGCATCATTAATTAAATGTAGGATAATTAGTTTATTGAAAATAAAGCAAGGTCCTAACTGACAAGACGTGAGCATTAATTATCTTTCTATTGTTTTTGATTGAGTTCCATTTTGTTTAAATTATAATGATTTTTGCGCTACTAGCTTGTGGTCATTTAGAATCCCACACGGCATTTACTTTTCTATACAAATACCGCTATTCTTCCTTCCTTAATTATCAGTCCTGCTCGTCGAAACCCATACATCATTTTAAAGACTCTGAGAAGTTTCCGATTCAAATTAGTGATAACTTTTTTTCTGGGCAATTGATTTCTATAGCGTGCTGCCGAATAATTACTTTCGGAACTCTTGGCGACAGTCTGTCCGCGATAATTTTTGGAATTGTCTCAAACTTCATAATCATTGTCATTAGCTCTTAAAAAAATGTTCACTTAACCACTAGGCGCCATTTTGAAGGGCGTTAAATAATTCAAAAAGATTGGTAGAGATTAATCCGGAGAGAGTTTTTGAAGGGATTCGGCCTACGGTTGAGAAAGAGTTAACCACACCGGCCGCCGGTTTTTGGTTATTTCAAGTTAGAACTCCGAGCAAAACATAACAAAACCTGGTCCGGTACCAAGTGCTATTTCGGACACTCTTTTTATACGAGAATTTTCAAGACTGAAAAATGATACTGTAAATTTCATATCCCCGCCAGAAGTTCAAAGGCGGCTAAATTACGTCCGGGGTCCAGAACGCACTCACTCCCAGAGAGTCCATAGAAGTCGCCAAGATCCAATTTCCCGTTTCCATTGGTCAGTTTCAGAAATATTGTCTCGCAAGGAGGTCCGTGCTAAATCCGCTTTTTTATGAAATTCATCGTCTGCCAAAGGACATTTTGATATGAGGTACAGTGATTTGAATTTATGTAAAAATAAGGGTCGCTCAATTTTTAAAACGAATTTGTGTAAACTGAATTTGATTTATGACAAAACTTGGGATTTGTTTTTCTTAAAGACACCAATCTCTGGGTCAATTGAAGCTGTTTGTATTAGATAGATTTTGTCATTTATGACCTCATTGCTAAAAAAAGTTTTTCATTTAAAGTTGGCTTGATTGAAGTTCAAAAAAGAAAATATCCGTATAAATAGGCTCGATTTGATTTGACTGTTGTCGTTTTTGACGCTGAAGAAAGGGTAGTTCAAAGGGACGTGGCCACGAATTCGATTTATTTTGGCCGAAATTCCTACCAGCACCTTCATTTACAGAATACCACCATAAAGGTTTATGGGGAAAAGCCCTTCTTTGCTGGGCGGTTTTGAACACATAACTTCCTGGACATGGCCATTTACTTTTACGTTGCAGGGAGTATTCCATCCTCCCCAGACCCCCCGGTGCTACGTTCTCTACCGTATGCGGAGAAACGGATGTTATATATTCCTTTCCCAACAACTGTCAAAAGAGTTTAGACAAAACTCTTTATGAAAATCAACGCCACCGGGGGGTCTGGGGGCCATACCCCCCAGTAAATGCAAGTTCTATTGCTATTTCCATAACTCCACCACAAGATTTAAAAGAAAAGGTTATCAAGTCATTCTTTGCTGGGTGGTTTTGAACCCCCGCCACTTTTAACATAATTTTCCGGAACTGGCCACTTACTTTTGCGTTGCTGAGGTGTATTATACCCCCAGACCCCCCGGTGCTACGTTCTCTGCAGTGCGGAGGGAAGAATGTTATAGTCCTTCCCCAACAACAAGAGAGCCTTGAAGACAAAACTGTTTGTGAAAAAAAATGCTACCGGGGGGCCCGGGGGGTATGGAATATCCTCCAGTAAACGGCAGTTCTTCTGCTATTTCCATAATTCCACAACAATAGCTACTAACGTTTAGAAAAGGCCATTAAACTCTTTTTAGCGCATTTCCACAAAAAAAAATGCGCTATTGTGGCCACTTTGTCCGTCTGTCCGTCCGCTCGTTCTTCGAGACGCTACTAGTTCTTTATCTTAAGAGCTATTGTTCTACTTTTTTCGCTATTTGGTTTGTTATGGTGTCGAGGCTTGCACCAAGGAAGGAATTTTTTCTGCGTTTATTGCTAAAAAAGTTATTGTAAAAAAACCAACAAACCGTTTTTTATATGTTCCATAATTTTACACTTTTGCCGTATATTAACGATCTAGAGATCGTTAATAATTTTGATTATGCTGTCTGTTCGTCTGTCTGTTGGTCTGCCCGTCTGTCCATTGTCTGTCTGTCCTGTATCTGTCGCGTGTGAATCGATAACTTTGTTTAGAAATGTCCGATCGCTTTGACATTTACGTTAGTTATGAACTGAATTGCATGAAATTCAATATGAGCATAGCTTTAGACCATATGTTGAGTTGATCGATTCAAATTCACAGGTGCCCTTTTGCGCATCTCTTCGACCAATTTTCAACCGAATGACAAATTTTTTTAATTATAAAGTATTTAAATGAAATTTGATACATAGCCCACTTGGAAAAGGAAAATCAAAACGCCATTCAAAATTTGGTTTTGCGCATTGCGCAGTGCCAACTTTTTTTTAATTATAAAAGTATTTAAATGAAATTTGATACATAGCCACTTGGAATAAAGGAAAATCAAAAGCCAATTTCAAAATTTGGTTTGGCGCATGCGCAGTGCGAGCTTTTTTTAATCTATGGAAGCATTTAAACGAAATTTGATACACAGGCACTTGAAATAAAGGAAAATCAAACGCCAGTTTCAAAAATTTGGTTTGGCGCATGCGCAGTGCCAGCTTTTTTTAATCTATGGAAGCATTTAAACGAAATTTGATACATAGGGACTTAGAGTAAAGGAAAATCAAACGCCAGTTTCAAATTTGGTTTGGAGCATGCGCAGTGCCAGCTTTTTTTAATCTATGGAAGCATTTAAACGAAATTTGATACATAGGGACTTGGAATAAAGGAAAATCAAACGCCAGTTTCAAAATTTGGTTTGGCGCATGCGCAGTGCGAGCTTTTTTTAATCTATGGAAGCATTTAAACGAAATTTGATACACAGGCACTTGAAATAAAGGAAAATCAAACGCCAGTTTCAAAAATTTGGTTTGGCGCATGCGCAGTGCGAGCTTTTTTTAATCTATGGAAGCATTTAAACGAAATTTGATACACAGGCACTTGAAATAAGGGAAAATCAAACGCCAGTTTCAAAAATTTGGTTTGGCGCATGCGCAGTGCCAGCTTTTGTTAATCTATGGAAGCATTTAAACGAAATTTGATACATAGGGACTTGGAATAAAGGAAAATCAAACGCCAGTTTCAAAATTTGGTTTGGCGCATGCGCAGTGCGAGCTTTTTTTAATCTATGGAAGCATTTAAACGAAATTTGATACACAGGCACTTGAAATAAAGGAAAATCAAACGCCAGTTTCAAAAATTTGGTTTGGCGAATGCGCAGTGCCAGCTTTTTTTAATCTATGGAAGCATTTAAACGAAATTTGATACATAGGGACTTGGAATAAAGGAAAATCAAACGCCAGTTTCAAAATTTGGTTTGGCGCATGCGCAGTGCGAGCTTTTTTTAATCTATGGAAGCATTTAAACGAAATTTGATACATGGGCACTTGGAATAAAGGAAAACAAACGCCAGTTTCAAAAATTTGGTTTGGCGCATGCGCAGTGCGAGCTTTTTTTAATCTATGGAAGCATTTAAACGAAATTTGATACACAGGCACTTGAAATAAGGGAAAATCAAACGCCAGTTTCAAAAATT